GTAGCTCAGACGTCTCTCCTGAACTCCAGACTTGCATATTCAGCCACTTCTCTCCAAAGTCCACCTGGGTACTCACTAGCCATCTTCAGATGAACATGTCAAAAACAGAGGAGGTGGGAATGGGGGGTAGATGGGGGGGAGGTGGGGAGGTGGGCGGGAGGAGGGAGGACAGGGGAATCCATGGCTGATATGTAAAATTAAATTAATTATAAAATTTAAAAAAAGCGGTTTTAGTTAGTTGTGGTGGCTCACACCTGTAATCCCAGCACTCTGGAGGCCAACGCAGGAGCATCGATGTGAATTTGAGGCAAGTCTGGCCTCCATAACGAGTTCCAGGTCAGCCCAGGCTGCAGAGTGAGATGCTCAGACTCAGAAGAAAAACAAAACCAAAACAAAAAACAAAAAACAAAAAACAAAAAAAAAACCAAAACCAGGCAAGTAGCAATGATGACAGAAATCAAGAAGGAAGCTTCCCTCCTCTAAACCTGGTCCCCTCACAGTTATTCCTGGTTTCCATACTTTAGTGACAGCTCCATGACATTCTTGTCATTTCAGTCTCTTGTATTCATATCTCTCGAACCTTGCCAACACCCCCAGACCTTGGCACGTCTCACAGACAGCGCTGCCAGGATCCTGGTCTCTACATCACCACCTGTGTTGCCGGGTGGTCTCAAAACCAGTGCCTTCCTTCAAGCTTTGCCCTTCTTCCCCTTTACCCCGACACAGCCGGCAGAAAGCCGTTCAATGTAAGCTGTGGCCTAGACAGACGGCTGCGTGGTGAAGAGCACTGCTGCTCTGCTGGAGGACCTGAGTTCGAGTCCCAGCACTTCCATGCCTGCTCACCACTGTCTGTCGCTCCAGTTCCATGGATCGGATGCCCTCTTCTGGCCTCCTCGAGCACCAGGCATGCGTATAGTATACACAAGTATGTGTAGGCAGAAATCCCATACACACAAAATAATAAAATTAAATAAATTTTTAGAGGAAAAAAATTAAAATGCAAATCATATTATATCCTTTGCCCCCAAAACTTGTAATGACTTTGGGATTCTCCTGAAATGAAATCTGGAATTCTTACAGTGGCATGTGGAACTTTAGATGATCTGCCCCTTCTCATTCTCCATCCCATACCTTTCTACGTTTTGTGCTCATCACACTGGCTGTGTGAAGGGATTACTTCACATGAGGACCTCTGTCAGAATGCCCATCCCCCAGACAGCCACAGGCCTGGCCTCTCAGTTGCTATCCCATGAGGCCTGCCCTCCCACCCTATTTAAAATGCCTAATGCCCCATTCCCGACTACGGTCTTTCTCTTGCTCTCCACTACCTGATCCTTGTTTCCTGGGGACTGTGGGTACCTTTTGTGAATTCTTAGCCTCCTTCACAAAATAATTCAAAACCAGACCCTGAAGGAAGCTGGAAGAACACTTTACTAGAGTTTGAAAGGCAAACCACAGGACAGGCAGGCTGAACAATCTTGGCAGCTTGGAAGGAAGGAGATGAAGACAAGGACGGCAGAAAGGCCCACCTTTCCAGTTAAGGTCCAAGCCAGCAGGCAGGTCAGCGCTAGAGGTCAGTGAGTAGCTGAGTGACCAGAGTTGGGGAAGCGTTAGAGAGTGAGATTGTCTAAATCATCAGGGAAAGAGCTGTTTGTTAAGAAAGGGACATATTTCCAAGAATAGGAATGGGCTAAAGAGCTGAGTGGAAAATCCCAAAATTCAGGGCTAGGTGGTGAAATACACTTTACTGGACATTTACACAGCACCCGCCTCTCCCGAATTTGTGTGTTAAGCTCTTTCCTTGAGCATGCTCTATTTGTTACATGAAGCCCAGATTAATAAGGGCTTCCAGTCTTTCTCTGTCAACTGCTCATTAAGGGGATAATTATTCCTCCCATCTCCTTAGTAAGTCTTTAAGTCAATGAGCATGATGGGTGGTCGCCCGGCCAGGTGATTGACAGGCCCGGCTGGATTAGGTGTTATGGGAGGAGATAGCAATTTGTAATGTGATCTCTGGAGCAGATAAGAATGCCATGCCTCAACCTGGGGGCAGTTAGAACTCAGATGCTGCTCTTTTGACCAGGAAGAAGTAGCTCTCTCTTAAAGCATCCCAACCTTTCCCTTTTAATCTGATATTTTAAATCTCAAGGAGGGATCAGAACTGATGCTCCCCTTCCTAGTGTTGCCTGGGTAGCAGAAGCTGGGGTCCAAAGTCAACTATGAGGTAGGGGTTCCTCCTCGGTGGCCTCCGAGCCTACTAATTCCTGTTAGCTCCCTAATATTACCTTCTCAAGAGTGAGACTCTAATATCATTTAGGAGGTGGGCTTTGAGTCCATCTGCCTACTGCTGGACAATGACAAGATCACAATTTCTTTTTTCTTTTCTTTTTTCTTTTTGGTGGTGGCGGGGTGTCTCCTAAAATTGTCTGACAAGCTTCTACCTCCTGTTCTCATTGTCTTCAGTATCTAAAACTATGCCTGGCACATAGATAATAGGCCTTCAAGAAGAAAAGGTTAATGAGAAAATGAGAAATCACAAAGCAAACTAGTACACAGTTTATACACTGTGGTCATGTTGGCTCTAGCTGTGAGCTGGTTGTCTCAGCCACAAAGCTGGGGATGTTCTCAGATTTTGTTTGTTTCCTTTCTTTCACTCCCCGGTGCAAATAACGAAGTTGATGGCACCTCCCTTAGCTGGCACCTCCCTTAGCTGGCACCTCCCTTAGCTGGCACCTCCCTAGGCTCGCCCCTTGTCGTTTTCTGATATCCTGTTATTACTGTAGCAAGTCCCAGACCAAATCCTGGCGTTTTCCTTCTTCTCCCCCCGGTTATTCAAACACTGCTACCAGGGTTTTGAAATCACTAATCTGTTCATGTCAATCCCCTGCTTTAAATTCTTCGCTGGCTCCTGGCCTCCGTCAGGATAAAGTTTACAGCCTCGCTCGGTACACACCTCCCTTCCCGATCCTGCCTTCTGACCCTTCCTGCCTCCTCTGCGGAGAGACTTCCTTACACGCTCTGTTCCAACCAGAGAGGGCCACGGGAGCTTCCCCGGGGGCCGAGGCTGTGTAAGTGGCCCTGCTTTTGCGTATGCAATCTCTGCTGCCCGCCTCGCCCTTTTCTCTGCTTCTGCTGAAAGCTCCAGTAATCCCACTCATCATTCACATCTCATCTCAAGCATGATGGGCTCTGGAAGTTCCTCCTGACCCCTCAGTCGGATACAGATAATATTTCCTGCCCATGTTCCATCCCAGCCCTTTATAGTCCTCAGCTCTGATGGTTTGCTCATCTGCTTCCCTGATTAGTGGGCACAAACCTGAAGGGTGGAGGTGCTGTCATCCGGTGCTTTGACCTCTATGCCTGGCATCGGAATGAGGGGCCGGAAGTGTTTGCTGAGTAAGTGACAGTCGTGTGAGAAAGCTCGTTCGAATCGTGAAGCTGTCTTATTTCAGAGAAGAGGCAGGCTGGAAGCCAGGCAGCAAGACACCCACACGAGGGCCACTAGAGCTGGACTTACTCATGGGGACAGCAAGTACCACTGTAGATAGCATGAGGAAGGGGCTGGCCCAGTGACTGATGGGGTACACACCCTGTACTCCGCACGCTTGGCCTGGGAAAATATTTCTGATGCTTTCCTTGTGCCTGTCCCTTAGTCCACACAGTCTAATGGGGGAAAAAAGAACATCCCAGTCTGCCTTAGATGTTCTAAAATAATCCAGGGAAAATGGTTAGGCTCTGTGATTGAGCTATAGTATCGAAAGGTAGCTCATCCCCCCCCCCCTCACCTTGATGGCAGCAAGGATCTTTTCCAAGGAGAGAAAGGTGCATCTCAGACATCCTGTTTTGGGAGGACTGTGGACTCCCTCTGGGTTCCCCTCTTCACACTCCTATTAGTAAACTTTGTGTTGTCTAGAACAACAAGACACCCCCACACACACACATGCCTTCACCAAAGAGAAGGTAAGACTTACAGTGTGTACTCCTCTCTCTTACAAATTCCCTTTCTTGAGCTCAGGTCTCAGATCCTCTATGTTTTCTGTTACAGAGAGATTGCCACCCCTCACAGGCACTTGTTTCTCTTGTCTTGATGTTGGAAGGTTTTTCTGTTGGCTGTTCAGATACAGTGAGGCGTTCTAATTGGTGGGCCAGGGTAGGGGGTGAGGGGTGGAGGGGAGAGGGTGATGGGAAGGCCCAGAAAACTCTTCTACTTAGGCCCACCCCAAAGACAAGCACAGTGAGTCCACAGACACATGCTCATCTGTGAGGACTTCCTGCCTTTGAAATAAGCTGTTGTGTGGGAAAGGGGCAAGTATTGAAGTAACAGTTGGAGTGTTTGTAATTACAACTCCCACTGATAAATAGAAGATGCTAAAAAGACAGCAGAGGACCATTTGGCTCAGAGTGCTAAGACTGTGGTAATAGAAAGCAATCTGTTCAAGGAGAGGTCTTGGAGGGCATGGAAAACAAAAACAAAACAAGCAAGCGAAATGGGTAAGTGATGGAGAGAGGCAATAATAGCAACCTCATAATCGCCGTGAAAACGCCAACATTGCTAAATCTTGAGGTATATGTGGGATGCTGAAGATGAGAGAGAGGGCCATCAGGACAGGGTGGGCAAAGTGAAGTTGTTACAGGAGGAGCAAGCAGCAAAAAATAACAGGTGCTGGAAGAGCTTACAGACGCTCACCTGCCATTGGCTTTCTGCGGGCGAAGATCGCATCCATCTCTATAGCTTCTTTCCTTCAAAAATGCCAGCCACTCATAAATATTCATCTCCACATAGCTAGGAGAGAGTGATTTTAGACATAAAATTTTACTGCTTGACTGTAGAGGTCAGCTCTTCCAACTGCTCCCACTTACAGAGGTGGACACAGAGGTCCCAAAGATGGCATTGTGAGTGTCACATTCCTAGAGAGAGCGGCCGGACCTCTTCCCGTGATCCTTCCATGACATTGGGAATCAGGAAGACACGCTTTTCACACCAAATGCTTTGAACACTCTTACTCGATGGAAGTCATTCTTTCTGTATCCACTGATGGAATACATTATATCCAATGGGGATAAAAGGCGGAAAGGCTCTTAAAGTATCTGCATTGTGTTTATCACAGTTACACTCTGTTCACTTGAAACTGTACAGTATATCAGTGAGGGGTATGTGACGATCTGCCTCTCCAGGTTCCCTGTACTCAGACTCCAGCCCTGGTTGTAGCTTGAGAGTGTCAGGGAGAGTGAGGTCCAATTCAGCATGGAAAAGAAAGCAGTTGTCAGAGAGGAAGACTGGAAATCCCGTAGACCAAGGCCAACATGTAATCTAGTATGTGCAAAAAAAAGTGCACTATAGCGATTATCTACAAGGGCCTCGACTGGCTGGACATGGCACCACTGTGAGTCTAAGTGTCTTCCCTTCCTGCTCCAGCCTATTTTTCCCTTGGAAAGTGCACCCTCTTAATGAGCTCTCGCAGCCTCTGTCCCCATCCATCTGTCCTTGTGCAATTTCTCATTCTGGGACACAAGGACCTAGAAATCCCTTCATGTTGCCCACTGGACTTCCATACCTGCCTGCCACACTGGCGGTTCCCAGGCTAGAATTGGTCTCTGTGCTAAGAGGAACTGGCTCTTTTCAAACTATACTAGTCTCTGAAAAAGGCAGACAGTCTCAAGGGAAGCCAAGAAGTCTGGAAGGGATTTCTTAGGACTTTGGATAACTTGGGACCACAGGAGGAGAAGGAGCTGTTCCGGAAGCCTGGCCCTGGCTTTGATCCTTGTCCGATCACCTGCAGGGCTCTGTAAGCCAAAGGTCCAGAACAAAGAACTTGGGGGGAAAGAGAAGCCCTTTTCTCTTCCAGTGGGAGGGTCTTTCCGCCCACAGTGGGAGACAGATGTCACTGCTCAGTGCAGAGGAGGAGAGAATGGAGGCTGACCCTGGAGCTGGCGTCTGCAGGTCACATACGTAGGGCTGCTCAGAGTGAGCTGGCGTCACTGTTACCTACTGTGTTGGATGCTTCACACGCACCCCTCACTTTATCTCCAAGACAGCACCTAGGGGTTTGTGGTCAAGAAGAGAAAAGGTTAGAGAGACTTTGTCACCTGCCAAGATCTCAGGGGCTGGAGGGAGTCTAATGTGCCATCTCCTAGCTGTACTTTATCGAGCAAGGACCTAGAAAGTTCCATCAAGATAATCCTCATAAACTGCTTGGCATTGCACCTGGGTGTGTATAAGGGTTTATCCCACCGAGACAATGACGAGATATAGCTTCAGCATCATTACTTTGGAAGCACAACTTGTACAAAAGATCGAAAGAACCAGGGAACTGTGAGAATATTCAAATGTGAAAGCTCCTGGAATGGGATTAAAAGTAAAAAAACAAAACAAAACAAAACAAAACAAAAAACAAAAAAAAACGAGTGGCTGGAGAGATGGCTGAGTGGTTAAGAGCTCGTACTGCTTTTGCAGAGGACCTGGGTTCAGTTCCCAGCACCCATATCAGGTGCCTACAACTGCCTGGAACTCTAATTCTAGGGACCTAACCCTTCTTAAGTCCTCCGTGGGCATTTGTACACATGTGGTATATGTAAACACACAGAGACACACACACAACAAACAACAAACGAACGAACAAACAGTGTTACTGGTGTAGGGAGAGACATCTCCTGTTTCCATGGTGACTGTGAGCCCAGAGGGATGACTGGAGAATTTAGAGTGGCAATACCTGCCAGAGGTGAAAGGTTGCTTCAATTTAGGGTGATTCAAATTCTCAGCAGTACAGAGGGAAGAGGGAGGGAGGCTGAATGGGGTTGAGCTCTTGTAGGGAGACAAAGGCAACCTGGGGGCCAGCGGAGCCTGGGGTTTGGTTTAGTGAGGGTTCAGAGACAAATCATTTCATCACCACTTACTTCTATCTAATATTTTCCATTTTCTTGTGTCCAGGGTATGAGAGGTAATACTTGCCAGAAGATGATGTCACTGTGGAAAATATA